TTTCCAGCACTTTTTCACTCTCCTCTTTCAGTTTCATCAAGAGGCTCTTTAGTTCTTCTTCGCTCTCTGCCATTAGGGTGGTGTCATCTGCAAATCTGAGGTTATTGATATTTCTCCTGGCAATCTTGATTCCAGCTGTGCTTCCTCCAGCCCAGCGTTTCTCATGATGTGCTCTGCATAGAAGTTAAATAAGCAGAGTGACAATATACAGCCTCGACATACTCCTTTCCTGATTTGGAACCAACCTGTTGTTCCATGTTCAGTTCTAACTGTTGCTTCCTGACCTGTATACCTCCTGAGATTTCGCAGGAGGCAGGTCAGGTGGTCTGGTATTCCCATCTCTTTAAGAATTTTCCACAGTTTGTTGTGATCCACACAGTCAACGGCTTGGGCGTAGTCAATAAAGCAGAATTGTATGTTTTTTGTAACTCTTGCTTTTTTGATCCACCGGATGTTGGCAATTTGATCTCTGGTTCCTCTGCCTTTTCTAAATCCAGCTTGAACATCTGGAAGTTCGCGGTTCTTGCACTGTTGAAGCCTTGGAAAATTTTAAGCATTACTTTGCTAGCCTGTGAGATGACTGCAGTTGTGTGGTAGTTTGAACATTCTTTGGCATTGCCTTTCTTTGGGATTGGAATGAAAACTGACCTTTCCCAGAGTCCTAAGAGGGTAGAAAGGGCCTCCTGGCAGGGCCTGGGGCCTCAGAGAGAAGACAGGTGTGTGCCCAGCCAGGAGGAAACTGGGGAACTTCTCCAACTTCTGGGCTGGAGTCCAGACTCACAGGAAGCCAGGGGAGAGTGGGGTGGGGTCACCGATGCGGTCCCAGAGCACAGGGCAGGGACGAGGGCGGAGGGTGGGTCTGGGGGCAAATCCGGGACACCCAGCCCCGTCCTCTGCCCCACCTCTTCTCTTCCAGGGCTAGGACTGGACTCTTGACGGTTCCCCCCTCCCCACCCCCCAGTCTTGTTCTCTCATCCACGCCCTTCGGGAGCCGCAGCTCTCGGAAACCCTCATCTGAGTAGGTCTCGGCCAGCATCAAGCACTCCCTGGGCGCCGCTCCGTCCTTGGGATGAAGCCCAAGCTCCCCGATCACCTGGCCACAGGTCCCTCCCCTGCCCCCTTGGACCCCTCAGGTCCCCACGCAGTGCAAGCTCCTTCCTTCCGCTGAGCCGGGCGCAGGTGGCACCGCCCACCGCCGGGCGCAGTGCTGGGACCCTCCTCGCCCTTCCCTCTGCAGGTGTGTTTCCCCCAGAGCTGCCGTGGCGCTCCGTCTGTACCGTAGGGTGCGGAACCCCCCAGGTCAGGGCCTGGCTCTGTCCGGGGACGGAGACCGTGGGGCGGGGCGGGCCCAGGAGCTCCGGGTGCCGAGCAGGGGGGGCTCGGTCGCGCCCGTGAACCCTCCGCGGCTCCGGCCGCCCAGGCCCTGAAGCCCAGCTCCCAGAGCTTCCCTTGCTCTGGCCGCGAGCCTCCTCCCTCCGCCCAGGCCTGCCATGACCGTGAAGGCGAGAACGCCTACCTGCCGAACCCCACCGCGGCGTCTGCCCCCGCCGCGCCCGCGCCCCGGGCATTAATCCCTCTTGCCTGGAGCTCCTGGGGCACCAGACACCTCTGTGGTAGCGCCCAGCGAGGGGCGAGCGGCCCGGGGGGACTCTCTCCCGGACCCCGCGCCCCGCCCCGGGTGGGACGGAGGAAGGGCCCGCGACTCGCCGGCCGCCGGCCCCCGGCCCTCCGAGAGAACGCCTGGGGGCGGGAGCCGGGGGCTCGCGAGGGCGGGGCGCGCCCTGGGGCTGCCCCCCCCCCACACCCCGCCTCCTTCTCTCTCCAACCCTCACTAGGGCGGGCGGGGCCGAAGGTGAGGGGCCGGGGGTGCGGCTCGAGCCTCGGGCTGGGTTAAGCGTTAACCGCGCGCGGGCTCGGAGCCAGGACGCGGGGCGGCTGCGGGCACCGGGTTGCGCCCGGCACGCAGGGGCGGGTCCCCAAGGCGAGGCGGGGCGCAGAGCCGGAGGGGAGGGGTCTGGGAGCCCACGGGAGCCGGGGGGCGAGGCGGAGGGCCCGGGAGGCGGAGGCGGGGCGGGCGCGGGCGCGGGGGCCGCGCGCACCTGGCGCCTGGGGCCGCCCCGACCTGGATTTCCGGGGGGCGGAGGCGGGGCCGGGGGCGGGTCGGGGCGGGGCGCCCGCGGACGTCAGGGACCCGCCGCCGAGGCCCGGCGCCGCTCCGCCCGTGGGCTAGCCGGGCTGCCGCGAGCGTGCGGGCCGCGCCGGGCATGTCCTAGGCGGCGGCCCCGCCCAGCGCTCGGCCGGCCGGGCGGGAGGGCCGGGGCCGAGCCGGGACGGAGCCGGGGCTGAACCGCAGGTAAGACGCGCCGATCTGCACCCGCGGCGGCCGGGCCTCCCGGCGCGCGCACCTGCGCGCCTCCGGAGCCGCGTGGGCGGCGGGCAGGGGGCCGAGGTGCGGGGTCCAGTGGGCCGGACAAAGGCGCGAGGGTGGGGGCTGCCGACGCACCTGGCCGGGCCGGTCCCCGCCGCCGCGGAGGCGGCCCGGGTCTGCGCCTGGCCGGGAGGGGCCGCCGAGGGCGTCTGCGCGGCCTGGAGAGAGGGGTCCCCGCCCAGGCACCGGCTGGGCCCCGGCGGTTCGCGGCGGGCGCTGATTCAGAGACGGCGCCGCCCCCTCCCCCTCCAGGCCCGGCGCTCCCGCCGGCCGCCTCCCGGCCTGGCCTCCTCTCCGCGATCCCTCCCTCCGCCTTCCTCCTCCTCCTCCCTGTCTCCTCATTTCCCTTCCCCGCCGCCGCCGCCGCCGCCGCCGCCTCTCCGCCGTCGCTGCCTCCTCTCCCGGCCCGGCCCCGGCCTCGGCTTCGGTTCCGTCTGCCCCTTCCAGCCGCCCGCCGCCGCCGCCGCTCCCAGCCCTTCCCAGCCCTTCTCAGTCCCTGCCCCGGGCGACTCCTCCTCCCCGCACCCCTGGCCGGGTGGCCCTTCTGGCTGTGGCGGCCGAGGGGACAAGTTTGGGGTGTTTATTATTCTCCCTCCTAGCAACGATGGTCAGCCCAGCTCCGAGCCGGCCGCAGGCTGCTGGGGAGCGTCCACTGCTCCAGGCCTGGGCCTTTTTGGGATGGGCTGGCAGTGGCAGGAGCGGCCTGGCTCGGCCACAGCCGCATCTCGGGGCTCTGGGGGTTTGGCCTCCCTTTGCCAGCGGAGGCTGTGGCCTTCTCTGGGTGGGGTCTCCGTTCCCACCTGCTGGTGGGGACCTAGGAGCGGGTGACGGCAGAGGGCGGGAGCTGGGCGGGGTGGGGGCTGGGAAGCACCGTGATGGGGCGGGCCTGCCCCTGGAGAGCGCGCTCCCAGGGCTGCAGGGGCTCAGCGGTCCCCACCTGCTCGGCCTCCAGCGCCTACCCCTCTGGCTGGACCCTGAGGAAGGGCAGGGGTTCCAGGATGAGGGGGCTCTGGCAGCCTAGGGCCATCTTCTGGGTGGATTTTGTTTGTCTTCCCACCTGCTTGCCCAAGGTGGCACGGGGTATGCCATGGATTACATGGTCACTCGGGCCTTCACCGATGGGTGGGGCCTGGTGTTGAGAGCTGGCTCTTAGGAGCCTCAGGCAGAGGTCCGGGTGTGGGCGTTGCAGGGAGGAGGCCTGGGGGTGCTCCCCCAGGGTGCCAGCACCTTCTCTCTCTTCCTGGTTAGTGGCTCACCGCTCACCTAGTCCCCGCCACACATGGTGAGTCAGGTCAGGGACCTGGGACGTCCAGGGCTGGCCTCACAGGTGTGTGACATGCGCTTGGACCCTGAGCTGGGTGTAGCCGTCTGCTCTTCCTGTCCTGAGCTCCTCCGTGACTTTGGAATAGGACAGCTGCATTTCATCCCACACTTAGCACCCAGGGTGACAGCATGTCCTAGGCCCTCCAGGGCCTCTGCTCTGCTCCTGGACCAGCCACTGGACTCCCAGGCACGCCCGACCCAGCATCTGGGCCCCGGCCCGTCCCTCTGCCTCAAGCCCAGCCCACGGGGCTCGTGCGCCCGCGTCCCCATCGCCCGCCTTGGATGGACCTCTCCCCCCAGCACGGCCACCCGCCCCTGTTTCTCTGTGTTGCTGGCAGCTTTGCACAAGCTGCTTGCCTCCTTGGCACCCGCCGACCGGCTGGAAGGAAGCCCCGTGATGCGGGGACGGCGTGCGGCTCCCAGAACCCAGGATGCCGCCTGTGTGTGCGCACGCCCGCTCCAGGAGCGTGGCTTGGGCGCTTGTGGGTGGTGCTCCGAGTGTGTCTGGAAGCTGTGTGCACGCGTGTGTGGCATGGGTGTGTCTGCACACTTGGCGCCCGTGCCCTTGTGCTGGTGTGGGGACACGTCTCTGGGCAACGGGCGTGGGTCCCCCCCACCACATCTGCCCCCAGGACCTCGGGCACTGCAGCACCACCGGCCTCCTGGGCCCTGGAGGGGCTGCCTGATGCCTTGACCCCCCGGACTGGCCTAGCCTGGGGGGAGTCTGCCAGACATTGGTGCCCTCTCATGGCAAGTGTGCTGATGGCTCAGGGCGCTTGCCTCCAGCCTGCAGTGTCCAGCTGCGGGAGGCAGGGCCTCTGGTTCAGAGTCTGTGTCCGGGGCTGCAGACCTGGCCTCATGGGGCCCCTGAGGCTGCTTGTGGAGTCCCCCCGGGAGCAGGTCACGGGAAGTCATGAGGGTCCACGCACAGGCAGTATGGCAGAGGCCCCGCATGCCTGACCCCTGGCACCCAGACAGAGAAGAGGGTACACGTGGGCCCAGAGCATCAGGGGGGACCTTAGCCTGGGAGGGGGTCCGTGGAGGACAGGCACGGTCTGGGAGGGGCTGGCCTGGAGCCCAGCATTTCTGAAAGCAGCCACAGTGGTGGCACCGTGAAGGTGATTGAGGCCCAGTAGGCCAGGCCCTGCGTGAGCCTTTGGGGTGCCCAGGGGCCGGGGCCCAGGCCAGGGATGCCTTCTCTGATGACGCCTCCCACCCCCAGGGCCGGACGGGCCTCATGAGCGCCAAGATGAGCGTCACCTCGTGGTTCCTGGTGAGCAGCAGCGGCACCCGCCACCGGCTCCCCCGAGAGCTCATCTTCGTGGGGCGGGACGAGTGTGAGCTCATGCTGCAGGTGAGTGTGGGCACCCGCGCCGGCCGGGGCTGGGGGCAGGGAGAACCCGCCCTGCTTCCTGCAGGTCCCCCGCGGAGGAGGCCCTGGGTGTCTCTGCCTGGGTCCTGGGCCCACAGTGGGCCCATGGGTCTTGGGTGGGCTGTGTGCTCAAGGGCAAGGGGCCTGGGCCTCTTCTAACGGGAGGTGCTGATGCCGTGGGACTCTGAAGGCGTCTAGCCTGCCTTTGGAAGGTGCCCGAGGGCGGATCTGTGCACATCCTCTTCACCCGGGGGCCCCAGCTGGGCTGGGAATCAGGGGCCACAGGGCCGGCTCTGACCAGGGGAAGCCCAGTGCCCCGGTGGGGCTGGAGAGGCCTGCAGGGCACTAAGTGCCAGGGTGCCAGGCACTCGGCAGTCAGGAATTTCTGTCTGGCCCCAGTGTGTGCTGCGCTGACCTTGGTTCCCGAGTCTGGCTCCTAGGATCAGGGAGGGGAGGGCGGGGGGCCGGAGACCTGATTGAGCCTGCAGGGTCCACAGGGTTCCCCAACACTAATGGTTGTCACTGAGTCAGGCTCCCTGCAGCCCCGAGCCCTCCCCGGCGTGGGGCCTGGGCCCCTGTCCCCAAGGCCTCCAAGCTCCACAGGTCCCACCGTGGGACTCTCAGGAGGGACTCTCCGTGGCCTCACTGCCTGGTCCAACCAGTGGCCCGCTCAGGGCCGGGTGAGACCCTGTTCCCTGTGCTGCCCCCTCACTCCCTGGGTTTCGTGAGGCTTGGGGCAGCCGAGGATCCCAGCCTAGTGCGTGTCCACTTGGGCAGCAAGTGCAAGGCCTGTGCATGTCCAGACAGCCTGGCTTTAACGATTTGCCTGCTGCCTTGCTTGTTTGGTCTTTTCAGTATCTCTGATCTAGAGTAGCCTCTCCCTTCTTCTCTGTGCATCTTGCCTTTGGAAGTCGCCTTTGGAAGGCTCTGTGCAGGCCTGGGCAGGTGTTTTCTGTAAAGGGCTGGGTACCAGGTTGAGGCCTTGCAGGTCGCATGCCTCCATCACAGCCCCTCGCCTTCGCTGTTGCCACGAAGCCCTGCACACAGTCCAGCGGGCGCCAGTCAGACTTTGTGATGTTGAAATGTCAGTTTCACGTTATTTTCACCTGTCCTGAAAGAGTCATTTCGTTTGTTTTTTTTTTTTGACCATGGGAAATGGAAAGACTGTTTCTCGGGCCCACATAAAACAAGCAGAGGCCGCAGACTGTGCCTCCGGGGATGGCTGATGGTGGTGTCATGTGACATGACCCCTGTTGCCTGTCAGTTGCTGAGAGATCTGAAGGGCTCGCTGCTTTTGGCCCTGACCCCTGGCAGGGGGCTGTGTGTTCCCTGCTGTGACCGAGTGTGTGGCCCAGCCGGGGTGGCCCAGGGGGCCTCTCATAGGTGGTGGCACCTGATGGGAGCCTGCAAGGACCTGGGAGTGCTGGGGGGGCCAGTGTGCTGACTCCTCCCTCCCCGGCCCCGGCCCTGTCCCCACACCAGGTCCTCACTCTGCCTGCTACTTTTCCCCAAGGCTGGAGGAGAGGCTCCCGGTGCAGCGGCGGGCAGGGTACTCAGAGTGAGTCTGGGGTCCGACTCCCAGTTTCTGGGCCAGTTGGTGGTGGAGCCCTGAGCAGGGTGGAGGGGCGGGCCAGCTCCTGGCCTGGATGCACCCTCATTTCTGCCCTTGGCTGCCCTGGGCCGTGTGTCCATCACACAAGGAAACAGGCTCCAGGTGGTCGTGTAGCTGGAGAGTGAAGTGGGAATGCCGCCTGTGCCACCCACCGGCCCCTTGCTCAGGACACCCCACACCCTTGTCTCCTGGGCTGTGTGGTCCTCCCAGCCCCCTTCACCTGCGACCCTCTGTGGAACCCCTGCTAGGGAGTTTCTCACTGGCACACCCCCGCCCGACCTCAGTCCCCCACCCCCCACTGCCTGGACTGAGCCCCCCACTGCCCAGCCCGAGTCCCCCCCGTCCCCGGTGCCCGGCCTGAGTCCCCCCTTCTGCCCGGCCTGAGTCCCCCCTTCTGCCCGGCCTGAGTGCCCCCACCCGGATGGGATTCCCTTCAGCTTCTCCCCGGGGCAGCTCCAGGCTCCCCGGCCTCCTGGTTCCTGCCTGGCAGCCCCCGTGGCTGCCCCTCGGCCTGGGCTCTGGCACACGAGGCCTCTCCCTGGAGGCCGTCCACACCCACAGCCTCGGTCCCCGTCTCCGCGCATGTGATGCACACGGTGACTCTCGCCGCCCTGTCCCCAGCCCCCTGTGTCCCCAGCTCCTGGGGGTCTCAGAGGCAGCCCGGCCTGCTGCTGCTGAACAGACCCCTTATCCTCTGGCCCGCCGGGTGTCCAGGGCAAACCCCGACCTTCCCTCTCCCACCTCGCGCCTCGGGCGTCCCTGAGTGCCCCCCAGCCTCCAGGCCTCCGTGGCGCCCCGCCTGTCCCCGCTCTCTGGTGCCCCTGTGCCTGTCCCAGCCCTTCCACTTAGCTGCCCTCTCCCGTCCCATCCTCACCCTCTTCCAGCTGCGTGCTCCTGGAGCGCCCGGGCCTGCTCTCTGCGTCTGTTCCCACATTTGTCGCTTGAGGGTCACTGGCCCCGTGCTGGAGCCTGGGGTCCCCATGGCAGGGCTGGGCCGGCCACAAACACATGGGAGGAGCCAGACGGCACCCCCAGGAGACAGACCGAGGAGCCGCAGGGGTTGGGACGGGGGTGTGTGACACGCTGGGAGCCGAGGAGGAGCCGCAGGGGTTGGGACAGGGGGTGTGTGACACGCTGGGAGCCGAGGAGGAGCCTGGGGGTGCTGCTGGAGATGGGGGGTCCTCTCGGGGGATGGAGGAGGCCGTGCGATGAGGGCAAGGCTGGGAGCAGGGGGCTGCCCCGAGGCTGTGCTGCCATCCAGGCAGGGGCCTCGGCGGGGGTACCTGGGTGGGGGCGCTGTGTCGCGGGGGTGGTGCTGCCCGCCTGGCCTCGCCCCCAGACTCTCCAGCCAGCCGCCCACGCACCTCAGGGCATGGCTCCTGGGGCTGAGCCTGGCTCCCCCCTGGGCCTGAGTGAGGATGAGAGCGGGGACCCGGGCCCAGGCCTCCGGCTGTGCGTCCTGCACTTGTGGCCCAGGCTCTGGTGCAGGGCGTGTGTCATTACGTGTGCACACACGTGTACACATGCACAGGTGTGTAGGTGCACATGTGCATGTGCATGCATGCGTGCATGTTGACATGTCTCTGTGTGAGAGAGAGTGTGGCGAGAGGTCCTCTCTGCTTCCGCCTGTTCGCCCCCTGGGAGGGCTCGTCTGCTCCCATCCTCACCCAGAGACCCGGCCCAGAGCCCCTGCACACACACCCCACAAAGGCAGGCCGTGGGCGCTGCGGCCCAGCTGGGTGGCGCTGCGTATGAGCTGGCAGCAGGGTGTGCCCACAGCCCAGGGTTTTGGCCACTGCTGGATTCCAGGCGGGGCTTCCACCCATGGAGGGCGTCAGGCACGAATTTTGGAAGCCCGTCTTTACTCCGTTTTAAAGGGAGTACAATTAGGTCCCCTCCCAAAGGTCCCTGTGTCTGGAACTTCTCTAGTCTGTTTCGCATGTGACCCACCCGCTCCACTTGCCACGCCCCCTGCTTTGGGTCCTCTTAACTCTGAAGGCCCAGGCCCTCTCCCCATCGCCTGTGAGCGGCTGGCCTTGGTGGTGTTGGGGTTGCCTCTGGCCTGGGGCATCGGCCCGAGGCGGAGGGGTTCTGGATGTGGGGCCCCTCCTTGCCTGGGCCCAGGGGGTCCTGGGGGTCCCCGCAGTCTGGGGAGGGGCTTTGGCAGGGACTGTGCCTGGAGTGGAGGGGGCCTGGGAACTGGAAGGGGCAGCCCAAGCTCTGGATGCAAATGAGGGGGGCTGTGCCAAGTCTCAGGAGCCAGGAGATGGGCAGGGCGGGTCATCTTGTCCGGAGAGGGAAGGTGCACCGAGGGAGGGGGTGGTCCTGAGCAGAAGACCCAGGCCCAGAGTGGGCAGGGCACCTCCAGAGCCTGCATAGTGGTCTGGCTGGCAGGCAGGGAGGGGAACGTTCAGGGAGGGTTGTGGCTTTCAGGGAGTCCAGGAAAATTCAACAGATGAGTCAGGGTCAGGTGGGGGGCTGTGGGGAGGGATGCGGGTGGGCTGACTGGGGTGCTGACCCGGAAGGTGGGGGCCTGGGGGCGTGGCCGGAGCAGCTGGGGGTCTTGGTTGGCAGCAGTCCCGAGGGAGGCTTCAGGGCCAGGTGGCGAGGAGGAGGAATTGGGTTTGGCCAGGCTGGGATTGACCCACCCAGAAGGCAGCCGGGGAGTGGAGGTGGGGGTCTGAAGCTTGGAGAGGGAAGAGAGGTGTTCCGGTCAGAAAGGTGGGTCTAGAAGCCCCTCTAGGGGCCACACCTCGGCAAAGGTGGCGGCCGAGCCTGAGGGGCAGTGTGCTCTCTTGCTGCCCACCCCTTGGGCCTCAGGCCGGGCAGAGCCCCCCAGGTCCCATCACGTTCCAGTGTGCAGCCTCCAGCAGCCTCTCCCGAGGCCCACAGTGCTGGGAGGCCTGATGCCCGGCTAGGTGGAGGGCACAGTCCAGCCCCCAGTGGCATCCAGGTGTTGGGCAGCTGGCTGGACATGGAGAGTGTGTGGGAGGAGGTGAGCCCCAGTCCTCCCAGCTGCCCTCTGGACTCCAAGGAGTACCCGACCCGTGGGGCCTCCCATGAGGGCAGTGGCCTGCCTAGGAGAGGACGGGCAAGCCTGAGCAACTTGGAGGCCTGGAGGAGGGGGCGGGGTCCCCCGTGTGCCTACTGCCACCCCCCCACCCGGGCCAGGCCATGGCAAGGGCGGCCTTGGGGCCCAGTGGGGAGTCTAGTGGGGGAGCTGGTGCCTGTGTTCAGGCACAGGCCGTGGCCAGGGTGGCCAGGAGCCGTCTAGCTGCGAGTGCCAACTCTGACTGAGAAAGTTAGGGCCAGGGCAGAGACCAGGCTGGGGGTGCAGGGCAGTAGGTGTCAAGGTCAGACTCATCTCACCTGAGACTCGTTACTTGGGGAGGCAGAGCCACCTGCCCCAGCGCTGCCCGTCTGAGCCCGGGGAAGCTCGATGGTCTTCCCTGGGAAGCGTCCAGGTCGGGGCTGGGGCTCTGCGGCAGGTGGCTCTGTGTCAGGGAGGCCCCGGCTGGCCCCACGGACTCTGCACTGCCCTTGAAACCACCCATGCAGCCCCACTCCCTCCAGGGGCCTGCGGGTCCGTGGCGGGATGAGGTGGGGGCCCAGCAGCCCACTCCGGGGCCCCCACCATAGCAGTGTCGTTATGCCCCGACCGGCCAGCGCCAGCCTCAGCATCCAGGACAGGCCCAGGGCTGTGTCCCCCGCGAGCCCACCAGCTGGGTTCTCCTTTCCAGGTCCTGCCTCGGTGCCTTGGCCAGGCTGTGTGACCTTGGGTGCAGGCAGGGCTGGGCCGGAGCCCACGTCCGCCTCTCCCTTGCCTGCGCTTGTCTCCGGGTGAGGGAGGAGGCCCGGCCCTGGGAGCTCCCATCCTGGGGGCGGGTGCTGGAGCCTCCCCTGGAAGCTGGTTGTTTCTGGATGATGCTGGAGGGGCTGGGTGGGCAGAGCCTCAGAGAGGAAGTAGCTCCCCGTGGCGGTGGCTGGCAGGACAGCGCTGGCAGGGAAGGGCACTGGGCCCGCACCTGTGAGCCCTGAGAAGCCCAGAGGGTGTTGACACGGGGGCTCAGGTGCTGGGCCGCCCTCCCCAGGGCCAGGCGGTCCTGTCCGGGTGGCACGTGGGCCCCGTGGGCCCCACGAGTGTGCCCTGGACGTAGGGTGTCTCGTGGGCACTCCTGGAGGGCTGAGTGGCAGCGCCCCTTGGCGGCCGGTCCTGCCGGTCACTCCTGAGGCTCGTCCTCGGAGGGATACAGCTGCCCCTGGACCCGAGGGGTGGGTCCTCCTTACTGAGGTGTGGCCGCGGGGTGGGCGGTGATGCTCTGTGCCGAGACCGCCAGCCCCTTGGCTGGGCAGGGCGGCCTGTGCTGGCGCTTCCTGACCGAGCAGAATGTGACCCTGTGACCTCGTCCCTGCCTCTGTCGCCCGGGGTGGAGAGACTGCGGCTTGGCCATGTGAGGGAGCTGGGGGCCAGGGCGGAGGGACCTGGGCGGCAGGATGCGCACTCAGCGTGTGCGAGCCCGGTGTACGCCGGCGGACGTGCGCGTGCATGTGTGCGCGCGTCCCCCACTCCGAGAGGTGTGCGCTGCGGGATTGGCTGGGCGGGTGGGGGCTCCCCTGAGCCCCCCAGCCCCGCTTTGACCCTCCTTCTGGGCTCTGGTCCTCCCCCGTGCCCCCCCCCCGCCCCCGCCCTTGGGAGTGAACAGCCTGTCCTGGAGCATTGGAGGGTGTCAATCCTTCCCACGCTCCCGCGGGAGCAGTGGCAGGGAGGGCAGTGGGCGCTGGCCTGCTGGTGCCCACTGGTCACAGAGGGAGGGCCCAGAGTGGCAGGTGGGGCGGGAGGAACCCGAGGCTCCTTGGTGCTGGGCGGGCTGATTGGGTCCGGCCCGCATGGGCTTTCTGGGGGGAGCACTCCCCCCAGAGATGTGACTGAGACCTTTGTGCTGGAGGCCCCAGGCCTGGTCGGGGTGTGATCTGGTCGGGGCGGGTGGATGTGGGGCCACCTGTGGGGCCACTTCCCCTGGGTCCCCTTCCCGGGAGGCCACCTGAGGGCCTCCATTCTTTCCAGTCCCGCAGCGTGGACAAGCAGCATGCTGTCATCAACTACGACCAGGACAGGGACGAACACTGGGTGAAGGACCTGGGCAGCCTCAATGGGGTGAGTGCGGGGCTTCTGTGCTGGCCACGCCCCTCCCACAGGCCCCACCCACACCCGGCCCCGCCCCTCACCTTGGCCCCGCCCCTGTCCCACCCCCATGCCCCCATTGTCCAGGACCTCCTGCCCTGGCGGCCTCCTTGGGAAGGCTCCCTCTGGGCAGGGCCCCTAGGAGGAGGGGCTGCCTTCTGGGAGGAGGGGAGTCAGGCTCTCAGGAGGGCAGGGGAGGTTCGGGACCTCCTGCAGGCTGGAAAATGGGCTCCTAAGATGGATGGATGCTGGGTGTCCGGTCCTAGGGGCATATGTGAGTTCTTCTGTGAGTTGGGAGTGGCAGGTCCAGAGAGGTGACCAAGAGGACGTTCCTAGCTGCAGGAGCAAGTGAGGGGGTGGGCAGAGACCGGCAGGGAGGGCAGGAGGGGCCCTCTGCAGGGCTCGGTGTCTGTCTGGGCGTCTTGTTCCTTCTCTTTGGTTCCCTGCCCTGGAGGCTGTTTCAGTGAGAAAGCAGACCACCAGCCTCCCTCCAGCCAAGGAGGACCCTGCCCCGTCCCCAAGCCATGAAGTCTGGCTCCCTCCATCCTGAGCTGGGGGTCCCACAGCACCCTCAGGCCCACCCTGCCTCCACCAGTTGCTGAGTACCACCCACCCCGTCCCCCTCTTAATGCCCCTAGCCGGGGGTCTCGGTCTCTGCTGGAGTCTGCCCCCTGAGACCCCTCTTCCCTCAGCCCCCCAGTCAGATGAGCCATCCCAGCCCGAAGGGGCCTGCACAACCTGAGCAGCCTTGTACAGGGCCACCCCGCAGGTCTGGGGGCTGCCACCCAAGGGCCTTGGGCGCCGGGGCTGGCAGGAGGCCATGTGTGTCTGTTTCACAAGGGTGTCACGGGCTCTGTGCTCGAGGGCTGTGTCACGGCCCCTGGGTGCTGGGTGGGCCCCACGCCTTGGCCCCTCTTCCAGCCATCTGACCTGTTGTCCCTTTGGGGCGTGACGCTGGTGTGCCCTTCCGAGCAGCACAGAAGGGCCAGGTGTTTCACGGCCCCACGTGCCCTGGCTCAGCGCCCCATTGCCTCCCTGCAGACATTCGTGAATGACGTGCGCATCCCAGACCAGAGATACGTCACGCTGAAGCTCAATGACGTCATCCGGTTCGGCTACGATATCCTTCCGGATGCTCACCCTCCTCCCCACCCCCCTCCATCCCCACGGCTACCGTTGCCCTGTTATCCTGGAAGCAGGTGGGGGCCCCTTGGTCCCAGCCAGGACCCCAGGGGGTTAGAGGCAGGACGGTGAACCTGGGGCGGGGCTCTGGCCTGGCCTTGGGCACCTCTGTCCACTTGCCGGCCCACCAGTGTGCGCTCACACAGGCCTGAGGAATGAGACAGCTTTCCTGGGACCCAGAGTCCGGTGTTGCTGGGGGACCCCAGGAGTGACTTTCTGTGCTGAGAACGCGGGGGGTGGGGCCGTGCCTCTCCTTAATTGGGCAGCCGGCGACCCGTACGCCTAGGAGGAGTGCGGCCCATCCCCTGACCCCCATCCTCGGTGCCCCCACTGAGCCCTCCCCACTGGTGGAGCCTTGGGAGCCCGGGGCTGAGGGTAGTCTGGGATGGGAGCCAGAGCTGCATGCGTGTGGCCTGCCCTCCGGAGGCCCCTGGGCTCCTGGGCTGTGTGTGGGGTGGAGGGGGGGTTCCCGTAGCCCTCAGGCACGTGGTTGCGATGACCGGGGCCAGCACAGCCCACAGGCGGCCCCTGCAGTGTGGGCATGTGCCCGGGATGGCCCGCTGGCGTCCAACCTCATCCATCTTGCTGGGAGTAGAGGATGCCGTCCGTGGGCCCGGCCAGTCCCAGCTGCCGCCCGTGCTCCTTAACGCGCTGTCACATCCCAACCTGTACGTGCTGGAGCGCGTGCAGCACCGCGTCCCGGAGGAGGCGCTCAGGGTAATTGCGGCGCTGCCAGGCCCCGCCCCCGGCCCCCCCTTCCCGCTGCTCGTATCCCAGGCCTCTTGGCTGCCCCGCCTGGCCGCGGTGCTGTGAGTCAGCCCGGTCTGGCCTGTTCCGCCGGATGGCCTGGTCTGGCCAGCGGGGAGATAGCCACCCCCCAGCCACAGATGGGAGGGCGTGGCTGGAGCCTGAGAGGAGGTTTCTGGGCCCAGCAGGACGAGGTGGGGGGGGAGGGGGGGCGGTCGGGAAGAGGACCCACCCTCCTGGCATCTCGGGCACCAGGAGGGCCCTCCTCCTGGGTGGGGGTAGGCAGGGAGGGGTAGCCAGAGGCCAGCAGGGGGCAGCCTTGGGGAAGGTCCTGGGTGGGGGCGCCCTCCGGCACACTTCCGTCTGCTGGGGCTGGGGGGAGCGGGTCACAGCAGGTGGAGCCCCCACTTTCCCCTTGCTCAGCTGTGCGGGCATCAAGGAGCGGACTCAGGGGACCCTGTGCACAGCCTCACCCAGGAGCCCCAAGATAGGAGTGAGGGCAGGTTCACTCCCATTTTCCAAAGGAACTGTGGGCAGTGCAAGGAGAGTGGGTGGCCTGGCGAGGCCCATGCCCGGCGAGGAGCAGGGGCCCAGTGAGCCCGGCTCCGACCACCACGGAGCTCAGCTGGAGGTGGGGGGATGAGGCACGCATGCACAACCAGGCGCGTGTATACACACCCACACGCACGGGCATGGGGCAGGCACTGCTCTCCACCTCCCACGGCTCCTGGGGGCTGACCCCACCCGTCTCTCGAGGGGCCTGTGGGTGGTGGTCCCCCTCTGACGGCTGCTTCCCACTCCCTCCTGGAAGCTTGTGGACCCCCAGCGTCGAGCTGTGTGGCCCGGGACAGGTCTTAGGTGTCTGCCCGACAAGGGTAGTGAGGGAAACCGCATTCTCTGTGGGGCCGGGCCAGGCAGGGCGGGGCCGTCCTGGGGTGGGGTGTGAGGTCCCGGGGGGGCGGGGCTGTCCTGGGGTGAGGTGTGAGGTCCCGGGGGGGCGGGGCTGTCCTGGGGTGGGGTGTGAGGTCCTGGGGGGGGGGACGGGGCTGTCGGGGGTGTCCTTGGGGGCGGGCCTGCCCTCGGGGGGTGGGGCTGTCCTGGGGGGTGTGTCCTCGGGGGGCGGGGCGGGCTCACCGGGCCCGCCCCTCACCCCCGCTGCTGCCCACAGCATGAGAAGTACACGAGCCAGCTGCAGGTGAGCGTCAAGACCCCCGCACCCAAGAGGCCTGAGGCTGTGCCCGAACAGGCGCCCTACTGCGAGGCCTCGACCCCCAGGCCAGAGCGGGGGGACCGGAGACCAGGCCCAGGTAGGATGGCGGTGCTGCCAGGCAGGGGCAGGGCGGGGCGCAGCACCCAGGCCCTGACCCCTCACCAGAGGCTGGCCTTTGACCCCACCCCCGACGACCCCGCCCGTGTGTGCCTGCCTTCCTGGGACCCCATAGGCACGCCTGTCCGCTCAGCCCTGTCGACACTCCCTGTGCCCCCCGGGCGGTCCAGTCAGACTTAAGGGGCCCTCAGCTCCCGGCTCACTCATCTGTGGCCAGAACCAGAGCAGGGCCTGGGAGAGGCGCCAGCCCTGGGCAGGCCTGATGGATGGTCAGAGGGCCCGGGCCGGGGACAGGCCTCCCCTGGAACAGCCGCTCCGCAGAAGGGCTCTCTCCGCCACCGTGGGTGCAGAAACGGGGCTCGGGATGGTTGGCAGCTGGCAAGGGTCCGGGCAGCTGCAGGTCGGAGCTGGGAGGCAATGGCAGGGCCGCGCAGACCCCAGCATCTTCCCCAGCTGCGGGTCTCCCTTCCTGTCGGCGATGGGGCCGCGTGACCCAGGGTCAAACTCTCCCTCTGCAGAGGCGGCCACCTACCGCACCCCTCTGTATGGGCAGCCCTCCTGGTGGGGAGAGGATGATGGGGGCGCCCTGCCCGAGGATCGGCGCCAGGACGAGCCCTGCCCTGGTGAGCCCTGGGGGGGGCGGCCTGGGCCCGGGGTGCCTTCTAGGCCGTGGGGGGAAGCCGGGGGGAGTGGCGGAGCTGACGGTGCCGCCTGTGGTCCTGAGCCCGCGTCCCTCCCGCCCCAGAGCGGCCCAAGGACCTGGCTCAGCAGGACGGCGATCTCACGGGGACGCCGGCCGGCTTCCGGGCCCCCTCGGAGCCTCAGGTCTACTCCTTCCGGCGGGAACCCAGCTACTTCGAGATCCCCACCAAGGAGGTGCCCCCACCGCGGCCCCCGGAGGCGCCGGCGCAGGAGGCGCCCACGAGGGAGGCGGAGCCCGGCGGGGGCGGGGCGGCCCCCGTGCAGAGCCACGCCTGCTTCACCATCGAGTTCGACGACTGCAGCCCCGGCAAGCTGAAGATCAAGGACCACGTGACCAAGTTCCTGCGCCAGCGGCGCCCCCCAGGCAAGGAGGCCGCGCCCGCGGAGGTGGTCTCCGCCGAGACCAAGGTGGCCGACTGGCTGGTGCAGAATGACCCGAGCTTGCTGCCCCGAACCGGCCCCGGCGACGACCGGCACAGCACCAAGAGTGACCTGCCGGTGCACACGCGCACCCTGAAGGGTGAGCGCGTGGCCGCTTGCCCTGGCCGCCTGGCCTCGTCCTCCGCGATGCGTCTGCGTGTCCCGGGAGCTGCCTGCCCTGGGCGGGGCCCTCCCGCGTTTTCTTGCTGCCCCTCTGGACCGCGTGTACCGGGTTTCCGGGGTGGGTGGGGGCGGGGGGCGCCGTGTTGCGCTTCTGGGACCGCTGGGGTCCTGTGTTCCTTACCCTCCATCTCACCCGTTGGATACCCCCCCCCGCGCAGGCCACAAGCACGAGGACGGCACCCAGAGCGACTCTGAGGACCCCCTGTCCAAGGTGGCCGGGGCCCCCGGGGTCCCCGCAGAGGCCGGCGGGGACCAGGCGCGGCTGCAGAGGCAGATCAAGCGGGACCCCCAGGAGCTGCTGCACAACCAGCAGGCCTTCGTCATCGAGTTCTTCGACGAGGACACGCCCCGGAAGAAGCGCTCCCAGTCCTTCACGCACACGCCCCCCGGGGACCCCAGGCTCGACCGGCGCCGTGGCCCCGGGCCGGGCGACAGGGACCGCCCGGCCGCCCCCGCCCCGGCCCGCGGGACTGGCAGCGGTTCCGGGCCGCAGCGGGCCGGCTCGCTCAAGCGGGAGAAGACGGAGGAGCGGCTGGGCAGCCCCTCGCCGGCCGCCCGGGCCCCCGCCCGCCCCTTCGGCAGCGTGGGGCGTCGCTCCCGCTTGGCCCAGGACTTCGCGGCCCAGTGTCTGCGGGACAGCTCCCCGGCAGCCCGGCCAGGCCCTGAGAAAGCGCCCCCCCCGCTGCCCGCCCCCCTGACGCCCCGTGGGGCAAGCCCCGCGGCCCCCTCACCTCCGCCGCCCCCGCCCGCCGACCCCCAGGTGACGAAGGCCCGCAAGCAGGAGGAGGACGACAGCCTCAGCGATGCAGGGACCTACACCATCGAGACGGAGGCGCAGGACCAGGAGGTGGAGGAGGCCCGCAAGATGATTGACCAGGTGCTGCGCAGGGGGCGGGGCGGGGCAGGGCGGGGGGAGGGGGGCCGGCCTGGGCACAGGCTCTGACCGGGGTGCCTGTCCCTCCTGGCAGGTCTTTGGGGTCCTTGAGTCTCCTGAACTCTCCAGAGCGTCCTCGGCCACCTTCCGCCCAGTCATCAGAGGGGACAGTGACGAGCTTGGAGACGGGGTGGCCCAGCGAATGGCCCTGCTGCAGGAGTTTGCCTCCCGGCCCGCGGTCGTGACCCCCCAGGTGTGGGGCTGAGCCCAGACGCTGCCCGGGGAGGAACTGGGCCGGGAGGGGGCAGCACCTGGCCAAGGTCCCGGGCGCTGGGTCCGGGTCCTGGTCTTGGTCCTGCCCAAGCGGCGGGCTCCAGGCTGCAGGGCCCACCTGGGCTGAGAGGTCCAGGCCTGGGGCCCTGAGTCAAGTTGGGTGCCTGGGTGCGTGTGCCCCCGGGGCAGGGCTTGGCTGAGTCCAAGGGACATGGCAGAGTCTACCTGCTGACCACTGGGCCACTGGACCAGATTGAGATGCGGGTGGTCAGGTCAGGGTCCTATGAGCCAGGCGGGGCCACAGGGGCCTCTCCACTGCTTCTCTGGGGCAACAGGGGGCAGGCACGGGGAAGGTGTGGGAGCCGGGTGTCAGGCTGGGCTGCTTCACCCCGCGCTGCCCCCGGACCTCCTTGCGGTGCTCCAGGCTCTCGCCGCCTCACGCCCTTCTGCCCTCCCCTCCTAGGGCCTCCCGGTACCAGGTTCCCCCGGGGGTCAGAAGTGGGTGTCCCGCTGGGCCAGCCTGGCCGACAGCTACTCAGACCCAGGCCTGTCAGGTAAGTGGCTCCAGTGTTGCAGCGGCGACGGGTGTGCGCGCATTGCCGCCGGAGGAGGGCCAGCTCCCTATGTGCTCAGGGGGCCTGTGGGCAGCGTTCGCTCCAGTTGGCCCCTCGTCTCCACAGAGGACGGCCCCGGGCGCAGAGCCGCGGAGCTGGAGGGGATCCCGCCGGTGCGGCCGCGGCGGCTGCTCCCGCAGCTGCCCAGCGAAAGGGCAGACAGCCCTGCCGGACCCGAGGCGGCCAGGAGGAGCGGTCCCGGGCCGCCAGAGGTGGGTGGCGAACAGGCCGGCCTCCTCTTGGGTCAGGAGGACCTGGAGCCCGACAGCCTCAGTGACGCCAGCGGCTCAGATGGCGGGCGGGGCCCCGAGCCCGGCGGGGGCCCCCAGGAGGAAAGACGCAGGAGCCCCCAGGAGGGGCCAGTGTGGACCAGGGGCCGGCGCTCCCCAAGGGGTCCCGGGGAGCCAGCCCCCACCTCTTTCTTCATCGGCGACCCTAGTGCGGAGGTGGCCCTCCCCAGGAAGGCCCCTGCGGCTCCGGGGCAGGTGGAGGGCCCAGGGCGGGCCCAGCCCAGCGCCCCCACCCCTGCCCCTGCCCGTGACGGCATGTACGTCAGCGCCAGCGGGAGGATGGTCATCCAGCTGCAGACAGCGGGGAAGCCCCCAGAGCTCGAGGGCCCTGCCCCAACCCCCCCGAAGGAGGCCTTGGCATTCGTCCGGCAGGAGAGCTTCACCAAGGAGCCGGCCAGCGGCCCCGCGGCACCCGGCCAGCTGCCCCAGATCCCCAGCCACCCCCTCCTGCAGGATCTGGTCGCGGCCCGGGCCGCACGCATGGACCTTCACTCTCAGGACACCCACCTGATCTTAAAGGAGACTGAGACAGCGCTGGCTGCCTTGGAGGCCCGGCTGCTCTCCAAGTCCCTGGAGGAGCCGGAGGGGGAAGTGGGCAGTGCCCCTGGGCCGCCAGAGGACTCCCTGTCCGGGGACTCTGATGTGGACACGGCCAGCACCGTCAGCCTGCTCAGCGGCAAGAATGGGCCCAGCCCAACCAGCTCCCAGCCTGCGGGGCTGCAGAGGGAGAAGCCGCCATCCCCAGCAGCTGCACAGGACCTGGGGGGCGTCGGCCTGAGCAGCGCCCGTGAGCGGCTCTCAGAGAAGCAGCGTCGCCCGCTGGGCCCGGTGGACGTGGGCCGCGGAGAGCCAGCAAGACGCCTGGCTGCACGGCGTGGCCACGGCCCCCGGGGGTCCCTGGACTGGCCCGACGAGGACCGCGGCTCCAGCCTCGCACACCCGCCCGGCACTGACACGGTCACTTCTGACCACGAGACCCCTGGGGCCACGGGCGCAGCTCGGCCGGGGACACGCCGGAAACCCATGGCCCCTCCGCCACCGACTGCCACTGCCCGGGAGGAGCAAGGCCGAGGCTCAACCAGCGTCCAGAAGGCGCAGCAGGCGCTGACCCGCTCCAACAGCCTGTCCACCCCGCGGGCCACACGGGCCTCCCGGCTGAGGCGGGCCCGGCTGGGGGACGCCTCGGACACGGAGGCAGCAGACGGCGAACGGGGGCCCCCGGCCAACCCGGAGCCCACGGGGCGGCTGGCGGCCGAGCAAGCCAAGAAGCTGTCCCGCCTGGACATCCTGGCCATGCCCCGGAAGCGGGCTGGCTCCTTCACAGGGCCCAGCGACTCGGAGGCGGCCCCTGCCCGTGCTGGCTTCTCGGGCCGCAGCGTCGAGCTGTATTGCCCTGGACGCAAGCCCACCATGATGGCCGAGGCTCGGCCCACTGCCAGGAAGGCCACCAGCGCCGCTGCGGTCCCTCGCCAGCCCTTCAGCAGGGCCCGCCCGGGAAGCGCCCGATACTCGTCACCCAGTAAGTGCCGGGAGCGGGTGGGTGGTTCCGAGCTTGGTCAGCGTGGGCGGTATGTCTGCAGCTTCCTGTGTGGCAGCCTGGCCGCAGGTGTCGGGCCCAGTGCTGGCCCTGGAGGAGCCCCCTTCCCATCAGCAGATGTGTGGGCCCCCAGCTGGGTGTGCAGAGCGGTGGGCCTTCCACCACCCCCAGGCCTGGCCGTTCTGCACACGTGGGAAGCCCTGCCTGTGTCCTGGGTGGGGGGGGCCTGCAGGCAGAGGGCCAGGTCCGCCCACTCCCTCCTGGGGTCCGGACCCCACAGGCGCAGCGGGGAGGGCTGGCCGCTGTGACCCCAGTGCTGGCCTCCTGCCGGGGTGGATTCCCGTCCGCAGGGGCTGACCATCCTGAGTAAACCGCTTGGAGGCGTTGGCTCTGCTATTTCCTCACTGCCCGGCCCTGCGGGTACCCGCCTGTGGACTTAGAGCCCCTCCTTGCCTGCGGGTCTGCTGGGGGCCGAGGCGGTGGTGGCTGGTCGGGGGTGAGGGGTGAGAGACCAGTTGGGGGTGCTGAGGTTCTGGTGGGGCCAGGATGGCTGCGGGCTGGGGGCCACACCTGCTTGGCCCCCCCCTCCCCGGTCCTGTGCATGTTCGCGGCTGCCTCGGGGGCTCCGCGCTGGGGTGGCTGAGGAGGGGGTGTTCCGACCTGGTATCTGTAAGGGGGGGCTGTGGCATCTGAGCTTGGGATCTGACCAGGGGCTGTGTGAGGCCACCAGCACGGTCTAGCGCAGGGCCAAGGCTGATCTACCTGGAGAGGTTCACCCTCACCTAGGATGTCTGTGGGCAGCACTTCTCTGCCGCCAAGGACCCTGGTTCCCATCCAGTGGGCACAGAGCTACCCCCAAACAGAATACAGCCCACGCCCAGTGCTGACCAGCCGCCACCCTGGGCTGCTCTGCAAGGGCCCTCGGACACACCCAGCTGCCCGTCCAGGCACATGCCTCTGAGCCGGCGGGGATCTGCTGGCGCTTCAGCCAAAGGGCTTCTGGGTGCAGGGGTGCCAGCTGCAGCTCAACTCACCCTGCTGCTCCGGGCCCTCGCCCGGAGGCCTGGGGGCGCCCGCGGGTGCTGAATGCTCCTCTGTTCTGTTCTTGCTTCTGGAACCAACTCACTCACCCGAGACACGCGTCGCCGGCAACAGGGCTCCGATTGCACGTCCACTTCCGAGGAGGAGTATGGGTCCCACCACGGCTCCCCCAAACACACACGCTCCCATGCCTCAACAGCCACGCAGACCCCACGGGCTGGCGGCTCCGGCCGGGCGCGACCCCGGGCCCCTGGCCTCCGGGACACGGATGACGAGGATGAAGAGCCTGATCCCTATGGTTTCATTGTGCAGACGGCCGAGATTGCGGAGATTGCCAGGTGAGGGGTGCCTCTCCTTGGGATCTGGCTGGGGGTTCAGTTCCTAAAAGGGTTCAGAAATGCCGGTCGCATGGATGGGTAGCTGGGAGTCAGGTGGGTGGATGATGGATGGATGGATAATGGATGTTTAGATGGATGGATGATGGTTGGGTGGTGGATGGTTGGATGGGTGATGGGTGGTTGGATGAATGGATTGGGGGTGGGTGGTTGGATGGATGGATGGGTGGTGGGTGGTTGGATGGATGGTGGATGGTTGGTTGGATGGGTGGTGGGTGGATGGATGGATGGCTGGATGGGTGATGGGTGGTTGGATGAATGGATTGGGGGTGGGTGGTTGGATGGATGGTGGATGGTTGGTTGGATGGGTGATGGGTGGTTGGATGATGGTTGGGTGGTGGGTGGTTGGATGGGTGGGTGGGTGGATGGATGGATGGATGGTGGGTGGTGGGTGGTTGGATGAACGGATGCAGATCTGCCCATAACAGTGTGGGGAGGAACCTCGGGCACAAGGAAGGTCTCCACAAACTCTTTATCGAAGGTGAGTGCCTTCGTGCAGTCGTTCAGTGGAGGGTGCCTCCCGGTCAGGTGCTGAGCCGATGCTGCAGCGGCAGGGGGGAGAGACTGGCCTGGCCGGGCAGCGGTCAGTGCAGTGCTGGCCGTGAGGAGGGGCCAGGTGAACGGCTGGGCTGATGAGTGGCACATTCGGTGCCCAGGATGCTCAGCTTGGCCAGGGAGGCACGTGACCGGGCAGGCACCTCCGAGGACAGTGGCCCATGTGGGGGTGGAAGCCCAGCATCGTCAGCATGGAGGCGGGGACCCAGGCTGTGGGCGGCGTGAGGTCATGAAGAGAGGGCTGGGGACATCATGCTCAGGACGCCTGCAGGGCAGTTGGAGGCCAGCTGCCTGCAGAATGATGCGGGCAGGAGCTGGGGGGCCGGCCCAGAGGACAGGGCATGGCGTCCTGGAGGGGAGCCGCCCCGGGTGAGGAAACGGAGTGGAGGCTGGAGGAGAGAGGACGGGAAGTGGGAGCCCCGCGGGGGCTCCCTGCATGCGCGAGCCCAAATGCACCAGTGTGTGGGGCGCTGGAGGCGCAGGAGGCCAAGGGGAGGCGGGCGGGGTGCAGGGGCGCGGGTCACAGAGGTGCAGGGGGCACGTCTGTGTGCAGCTCTAGTCCCGAGGCTTTGCGAGAGGCCCAGGGCAGGGAGCTGGCCCCCAGCAGTCCCCCGGCATTTCCCTCCTCAGGGCAGAGGGGACGAGGAGTCTCGGCTGGCCCCAGGGGCTGTGGCTTGGCCCTGCTGTCTCATGGGGAGGTCCCTGGCCTCTCTGGGCTGGCCTGACCCTGACCCTTGTCGGTGACCCCGCCTCTCTGTCCCATGGAGCAGGGCCTGTGTGGCCCCGATGGCCACAGGGAGGGGGGATGTGGCCGGGGCCTGGGGGTGCCTCTGCCCACCTCTCCCCAAGGTGCCCAGCGGAACCCTGTCCCTCTGTCACTGCTACTGCGGGAGGCTCTGTGCCCCCTGCCCCTCACCTAGCGGCCGCCTACTGGCAGGGCCTCCTGCCCCTGCCCGGGGGATCATGTCCCCCCTGGCTCCTGTCCCCAGCATCCCCCCCAACAGGGCTGGGCCTGGGAGGAGCCTGCAGGGACCCATCTTCTCTCCTGCCGGCTGCAGGCTGAGCCAGACGCTGGTGAAGGACGTGGCCACCCTGGCCCGTGAGATCCACGACGTGGCTGGCGACGGTGACTCCCCAGGCTCCCCGGGGCCCGCCCACAGCCCCTCCCTCAACAACGTGCCCAGCACCCCTGCCTCTACCATCTCTGCCCGCGAGGAGGTGAGCCTGGCCCTTGGCGGCCCCTTCCACGCCCCTCACAGGCGGGGCTCAGGGGTCGTGGCGGGGAGCCCTCAGCGGAGGCCGGGGACCCCGAGCCACTGGTGCTGTGTTCTGCTCTGCCCGCGGCGCGGCGGGCGTGGGCCACACCCCTGCTCCCCTCCTCTGCAGCTGGTGCAGCGCATCCCCGAGGCCAGCCTCAACTTCCAGAAGGTGCCACCCGGCTCCCTGGGGCCTCGGGACCTGGACCAGAACATGAACGACCGTGGCGAGGACGCCCTGGCCAACAAGACACGGCCCCGGAACCGTGAGGAGGCAGGCGCTGCCCCCCCCCCGGGGAGTCCCCTTGGGGCGTGGCGGGGCAGGGCTCCCTGGGTGAGCGGGCGCCGTGCTGAAGCCCAGGTCCCCACAGGTGATTTTCGATAACCTCATGCTGAACCCAGTGTCCCAGCTGTCCCAGGCCATCCGCGAGAACACAGAGCACCTCGCCGAGAAGATGAAGTGAGTCGTCCCGCGGTCCCCCCCCCGGGGAGGGGCCAGGGAGCCACCGCTGCTTGCTGGACGCCCAGCCTGGGCCCTGGACACGGGTACAGACGCGCCTGTGAGCCAGGACCGTGCCGGGCGTCTGCAGACACAGGCCCGTGCTCTGGCAAGCAGACCCGTGGTCTGGGGGCAGGGCCCCCAAGCGGCCTGCCCCGCCCTCCTCCCAGCCTTCCCCACGTCAGGCGCAGAGACGGGACGCTGGTGCCACTAGCCTGGGTCCTGCTCTGGGTCTCAGTTTCCCCTTGTGCCTGGTGGGGGATGACGAGGGCCTCCCCGTGGCTGGCGGGGTGGCCTGGGAGGGTCCGTGTGGGGCCCCATGGTCACTGTCCTCTGCCTGCTCCCGCCCCAACTCCTCCGGGGACAGGATCCTCTTCCAGAACTCAGGGCGAGCGTGGGAGGACTTGGAGGCCAGGATCAACGCCGAGAACGAGGTGCCCATCCTGAAGACATCCAACAAGGTGAGGGCCCCCCGCCCCCAGCCCGCTCGGCTCCGGGGAGACCCGGGGAAGTCACCGAAGCCGGGACCCCGGCTCCTCGCCCACCTCGGTCCCTGGGGAAGGGTGAGGCTGGGCAGTCCTGCTGTACTTCCTCCTTGCTCGTCCGCCTCTAGGAGATCAGCTCCATCCTCAAGGAGCTCAGGCGCGTGCAGAAGCAGCTGGAAGGTGAGTGAGGCCCTGACCTGGGGGGGCAGGGGGAGGGCTGCCGGGGGCCTTGGCGGGGCCTGACCCACAGTCACGGCTGACTGGCTGGAAGGACCCCTGGAGGGTGGGCGCGGGCAGCAGGGCCGGGCCTCTGAGCAGCCTGACGCTCCCACCCCCTCAGTTATCAATGCCATCGTGGACCCCAGTGGGAACCTGGACCTGCTGACCGGAAACCGTGGCCCCGTGGGCTCGGCCCAGCTTGGGCGAGGCCGGCCAGCCGCCCAGGGCCTGTGCTCGCCCTCCTCGGCCCTGCCACCCCGGAGCTTCCCGCAGCGGACGAGCTGCGGGACCCCTGGCCTCCCCGAGCCCCCTTTCCGCCCTGACTTCCTCCCGGACGCCGAGAGGTTCCTGATCTAGGCAGCAGGGCCTCCCCCACCCACTCCACCCGCTGCCGCGGCCTCTTCCAGCTCGGACAGGCCACTGCAAAGACCCTTCCACGTGCCATAACCCTGTGGGTGCCCAGGCCACCTCCTCAGCTCCCACACCGCCCCGCCCTCCCTGCTGGCCTCCTGGCCCAGACCCCGCTGCGGCCGCCGCCAAGGGCCAGCGCCCCTCCATCCCCATCGTCGTGTCTTTAGCTTTGAGGAAAGAGTCATTGAGCCATTGCGGCCGCACCCCTCCCCGCCTGGAAGGGTCCCGTCCCCGTCGTGGGCTGGGGGACACCCGCTTCCTGCCAGTCCCTCTGTGCTGGCTGGGGCCAGTTGGGAAGGAGGGGCTGGGCAGTGTGGGCTTTCAGTGCCAAATGCAGGGCCAGGGGTGGGTGTGCCCCGAGATGCCCCAGGCCTCGGGGCAGGCAGAGTGCGGGCCAGGCTGGGCAGGGGTGCAGCCCGCGGGGACGTTTGGGACGGGGACCCCACTGCTGTGAGCCTGTGGTGCCAACACAACTGCCAAACTCAGCGTGTGGGCCAGGCGGCCACGCACACAGACGCACATGCCAGGAGCACGTCCGCACTCACGGCAGGCCCAGGCTCGGCCAGGGAGGGTGGCAGGCCCTGTCCCCGGCTCCCGGGATCCAGGTGAGCCACCAAGTGAGGGGAGCAGCTGACCAAAGCAGCCAGAACCCTGGGCTTCCAGAAGCTCCCTGGACTGCGCGCCCTCCCCCGTCCTCTGGACGCTGCGGGCATTACGGGGGTGCCCCTCAGGCCTCCGTGCACCGGGGGTTGGGGGGTGGGGCCATGGGGGCAGCACCCCCAGGAACAGTTCATTTCTCAGGATCCTTTCAGCTGGGAATGAGCCAGGCAGCAGAGCGCAGCCCCTCCTTCCCAGGGGGGGCTGGTGTGTCTGGAGCCTCTAAGCCAAAGAGTCTGTTGGCTGTGGTGGGTGGGCATGCGGCCGGCCCGCCTGGACCATCCTGGGGTGGGGGTGCGCCCCGCCTGGTGTCTGCACTAATGTCGATGGCGAGCGGGGGTGGGGGCGCCGGGGCTGGGTCCCCGAGGCCAGTGGGTGCGGGTCTGGGCTGCGGGGGGCGATGCCTGTCTGTGTTTCCGTCCCACTGACATGGTACCCAGGCCCTGTGCCCCTCCCCGATGTTTACGTGTGTGAGTGCGGCGGGGCCCCCGCCCGGCCCCGCCACGAGCCTGCTGCGTCCGCACGGAGGAGGTGCTAGTCCCGGGGCCCCCTCCCTCCCCGCGTGCCCACACGGCTGTCCCCCCAGAAGCGAGCAGTGGCCGTCCACACCCCTTCCCCCTCCGTGGTGATCACTGCACAACGTTTCTATTCACGAATCCACGCTCCGCTCCCCTCCAGCCTTCACCCTGGGATCCATAACTTATTTGTCTGGCTTCTCGGAGGCACCTCTGTGCGTTTGTCCTCAGGTGGTCTTATGGATGTCTTTCGAAAAATGGTTATTTTATATGATTTGTCATGGAATATGTTCTAATAAATCATTCTTCTATCATGTGGCAACAGGCCGCTGTCTGTCGCCATGGACTCATTTCTCCAGCGGTGGTGTTTGGGGAGGGAGGGGGCCCCCTGCAACCGGGAGGTTCATGCCAGGGTCTCCCTTCCTGGTCTGCTGCTGCTGCTGCGAAGTTGCTTCGGTCGTGTCCGACTCTGTGCGACCCCATAGACGGCAGCCCACCAGGCGCCCCCGTCCCTGGGATTCTCCAGGCAAGAACACTGGAGTGGGTTGCCATTTCCTTCTCCCTTCCTGGTCTGGAAAAGCGGTTTCAACCTCCAAGTCAGGCGCACTGCAGGACAGACACGCTGCCACCAGAGGGCGACCTAGGCAAGAAAGCAGAGCTGGGAAACGTCTGCGGTTTGCTTTGGAAAAAAACGGTATTCAAGCCATGCAGTGATGCAGCATCCAAGAGCACCCTTCACAGCGGGCCCTGCCATAGCCAGAGCTCAGGAGGCGCCCAGGCCCTGGGTGCTGGGCGTCTGCTGCTCCCAGTCCGTCCCCCTCCTCAGGGCTCAGAAGGGCCTCTGACCTTACTTGCTGACCCTCCCGCCCAGGAGTGATATGTGCCCACCTACCGGGAGGACTCGGAGAAGGCAATGGCACCCCACTCCAGCACTCTTGCCTGGAAGGTCCCATGAATGGAGGGGCCTGGTGGGCTGCAGTCCACGAGGTCGCTAAGACTCAGACACGACTGAGCGACTTCACTTTCACTTTTCACTTCCATGTGCTGGAGAAGGAAGTGGCAACCGACTCCAGTGTTCTTGCCCGGAGACTCCCAGGGACGGGGGAGCCTGGTGGGCTGCCGTCTGTGGGGTCCCTCAGTTGGACACGACCGAAGCGACTTAGCAGCAGCAGCAGCCATGTCTTTTATGCTCTTTTCTATACTTCCTATACATTTTTTCTCTTTGTGCTTCAGTCTTTATTTCTACTGCCCTAAGTTACGGTTCAGGTGTCCCAGGTGGCACCAGTGGTAAAGAACCCACCTGAAATTGCAGGAGACAAGAGACATGGGTTCGATCCCTGAGTCAGGAAGATCCCCTGGAGCAGGGAATGGCAATGCACCCCAGCGTTCTTGCCGCGAGAATCCCATGGAGCCTGGTGGGCTGCCGTCCATAGGGTCACAAAGAGTCGGACATGACTGAAGTGACTTAGCACAAATTGCAGCTCACCAGTCCTGTCTTAATTTCTCTTCAGCTCTCCAGTAGCCCGTCTCTTGCTCTATTTACTTTATTTATTTTATTTTTAGTTCTAGAATTTCCATTCATAAAAAAATAATTTCACATCTCTAAGTAAAAATTCCTGACTTGTCATTTATTGTTCTGAACACATTAGCCGTGTGTTTATCTCAGAGGTTGTGTTCAATAGCTCCAGAACCTGGATCCCTGCTTTTATGCTTGGTTCTATTTCTTGATGTGCCTGGTGACTCTTGACATAAAAAAAGTGAAGGAAAGTAAAACAGTGAAATAAAGGGACAGATATTGTGAGTGGAAAAAAGGCGCAGAGGGACTTGCCTTGTGGTCTGTGGCGCCACGCCCCTACTGCAGGTTTGAGCCCTGGTTGGGGAACTAGATCCCACATGCCGCAACTAAGAGTTCACATGCCCTCACTAAACATCCCATGTGCGGCAACCGAGACTCAGTTCAGCCACGTAAACGTATAAATAAAAATAAATAGGGACTTCCCTGGTGGTCCAGTGCTGAGAATCTGCCCGCCGATGCGGGGGATACTGATTTGATCCCTGGTCCGGGAAGACGCCACGTGCCGTGGGGCAGCTGAGCCCGGAACCCACAACCACTGAAGCCCACGTGCCCTGGAGCCCGTGCTCCGCAAGGAGAAACCCCCACAGCGAGCAGCCGGCGCACCGCTCCTGGAGGGTAGCCCCCGCTCGGCAGCCGGAGGGCGCCCTCGTGCGGCGGCAAAGAACCTATGCACCATAGCAGGGACCCAGCACAGCCAAACCGTTTCTGTTAATTTAAAAATAAAGATTTTTTTTTGAGGAAAGTACAGCCTCTAAACAATGCTATATGTGATCAGTGAGGATCACCCTGTCCTATGCTGGAGGGACTGAGCTGGCCTGAAGCTGGATTGAGATGCACTCAGTCCGGTCCACGTCCTGATTGCCGGTGGTTCTGGGCTCACCTCCTGGGATCCCAGTGGAGAGTCAGGTGAGGGACCAGCTTTCTCCTCCTCTGACGAAGATCCCGAGCTCAGTTTTGTCCTCCTGGAACGATAATATTACTGTGCTTGGTTCAGCTTTGCATCCACTCCAGGCTCAGCCTTGGAGCCCTGTGCGGCGGGAAAGTCAGCAGTGCCGTAGGAGGACAGCGCAGAGTGCCAGCTCTCTCCCCAGCTGTCCCTGCTCCTAGGAATCTTGGCCCGGCAAGCCCTGGTGGCCCTGGCAGGCCTGAAGGCTGGTGCCCTGCTAGCTTTGCGAGTCTGCGCAGACCCAGCCTGTCCACTCTGAATCTTTGCAGCCACCCTCGCCCAGCTGCTCCGCCTCTGCCTCACAGCTTCTCTACCAACTGGGAAGCCCAGAAGTACTGCTGAAAATAAAATGAAAATTAGACACAAAGCTGAGATAAGAAGACAGAAGGGGAAGACCCCATGCCCCAGAAGTTAGGTGGGAAACAAAAGGCAGAATGGATAAAGAAACGGATAGCGCACCGCTTCCAGGGGGACGTTAAGGTCCATAAAAACCCCTAATGTTGAAGCAGGTGATGTTTTCTGTCCATACAGGGTCAGAAGATAAGGCTTGTGCCTGGTAGGAGGAGAGTTGATATTTAGAATACTGTTCAGAGCTGGGTGTTCAAAAGTTTGTACACAGAGGGAAAGGGGCCAGAAAAACTCTCCCCATGGCCCCAGTGACAGGGCAAGGAGGCTTGTCTGTTCTCAGGTTCTGGGTGAGAGGTGGGGAAAGTCTGCAGTAAGAAGCCAAGACCTTGGGGAAAGTTGACCAGCTGATAAACAGAGCTTAGAAACAGTAAATGGGAAAGTTGGTCACTGGAAATCAGCCAGATTCAGAAAAGGAGAAGGATAGATGTAGCGTGTAACAGGAGATTGTGAGGCATGGAAGCTACAATGTAAAGCTTCTGCATACAGTTAATCTGAGTTTCAGTGTGAGGGTAAAGAAAATACAGAGCAGGGATATTCAAAGAGACAGTAGCTGAGAACTTTCCAGAAATGATCAAAGGCATAAATTCTCACAGGTCCCAAGAGGGATGTATAAGAATAAACTTTGGTGACTTCCCTGGTGGTCTAGTGGTTAAGAATCTGCCTCCCAGTGCAGGGGACACAGGTTTGACCCCTGGTCAGGGGAGATTCCACATTCCGCGGGGCGACTAAGTCTGTGTGCCACAAGTACTGAACCCACATCACTGCAGTGACTGAAGGTCGTGGGCCTGGAGCCTGCGCTCCTCGGGAGGAGTCACAGTCGCGAGAAGCCCAAGCCCCACAGCTGGAGAGAAGCCCCCTGCTCTCCACGACTGGGGGAAGCCCTTGAAGCAGTGAAGGCCCCGTTAGCAAAATATATACGTATATATTAAAAATAAGTTAAAGCCAACATATTCAAACTATTGAAAGAAAAGGATTGTCAGCCAACAACTTTGTACCCAGAGAAACTACCCTTTGAGACTGAGAGAGAAAGAAATGGTTTCTGACAATAAAGCTTGAAGATTTACTACTCTTAGTGCCACAGTGAAAGAACTCTTTAAAGATAATTTTAGGAATAAAAAACTGAGCTCAGAAGGAAGACGTGGCATACAAGAAAAAATAGTAAATAAATTGGCAAACATGCAGTAAATCTAAGTAATTGTTGACAACTAAAAAATTATAGTGATTGTGAAGGGTTACCTCAAAAAGAGGAAACTAAAATACTAGAGAATAAGTAAAACGGAATCCTTGAAGAAATAGTTGGAAGAAAAAATTCCCAATCTCATTTTCTTGTTCAAAAAGGTGGAGGGATCAATGAATTCTAGACTTTGAAGTCAAGTACTGTGTGAAATATTTAAGGCAGCCACAAGAAGGATAGGGGGCTTCCCAGCTGGCACTAGTGGTAAAGAACCTGCCTGCCAATGCAGGAGATGCAAGAGATGCAGGTCTGATCCCTGGGTCAGGAAGATGCCCTGGAGGAGGGCATGACAACCCACTCCAGTGTTCTTGCCTGAAGACTCCCACGGACAGAGGTGCCTGGTGGGCTAAGTCCATGGGGTCTCAAAGAGTTAGGCACAGCTGAGGTCACCTAGCATGCACAGAAGGATAGGACGATGAGGGAGCTTTTCTTTCAGCCGCTTGGTGGATTAAGAAAGTAGAAGTCAAGATGTTGGATCAATGACAACAAAAATATGTTTAAATGTTTCGCTGAACGCCAAGGAACATACTCAGCTGCAGTTGGCCTATGGCTTGATGACCTCTGACCTGAGGCTTGATGACCTCTGACCCAAGGCTTGATGACCTCTGGCCCAAGGCTTGATGGCCTCTGGCTCAAGGCCTGATGACCTCTGGCCCACGGCTTGATGACCTCTGGCTTAAGGCCTGATGACCTCTGGCCCATGGCTTGATGACCTCTGACCCAGGGCCTGATGACCTCTGGCCCACGGC